TGAGAGTTGAGAGCTCCTAGCTAAGCTTGCATAGCTTTGGGCTCAGCAGTACTTGTCCATGCAAAGCACCTGCAGTGCACCAGTTTGGGCCCCTTGGGCCCACACAAAGCTTCTTGGTACTCCAAGATGTAGTTTGCTACACGAATAGGCTACACTGTTTTTGAGAACATAGATACACATAAAATGAGACAGAAAGCCTCTTGCAGTCTTACCTTGGCTGCTCCAGGTCCCTTGTGGTAGCTGCTTTCAAGGCCAGCCAAGGTGAATTTGGCATTCCCAATGCTGGCTAAACACTAATGACCAGCTCCTGTCCTCGCTCCCTAAGAAATTCGGCTCCTTTGCAGACACCTATTGCTCCTGTGACCTGGGCAGCACTACCTCAGACTGGTGTCGGCACATGCATTAAGCACCTTGCTTCTGAGCAGGGTGCCATCTTGAAGCTCTACAGCTAACGAGCATCATTTGTTACCTGGCCGTTATGTTTTCTTTCCCAGTGTGATGCTAGCTGTGGGCGAGGGATGAAGACCCGGGTTGTCTTGTGTGCGGGCCTGGAGAATGGTGTGTACAGGGAGTACCCCGAGAAGCGCTGTCAGGCCTCTCAGAAACCTGAGGAGCAAGCTGCCTGTTTCAAGAGGCCATGTTCAACGTGGTTCACTACCTCCTGGTCCCAGGTAGGGCTCGGGGTGGTGAGGAAGAGGGAGAGGAGACCTCATAACCCTGGTTGGTGGAGCATGACCTGCACTGAGGATTTCTAGCAGCCTGTTCTGCTGAGAGCTCTGTTAGGTCTGGATGGGGCCATGAGCTCTGCTCTTCTGCAGACCAGGCAGCAGGTGGAGGGACTGGTACACGGGAGCTGGGGAAAACCTTAGAGCATGTGGATTATTGTCTCAAGCAAGAGCATGCACTGCACTGCAGGCAATACAGCCGTGTCTCCTCCTCTGCCAGGAGTCAATGTTCTGTCTTTCCCTGCTTTCCCTTGATTTTAACTGGTGAGCGTTTAGGGAATGGGAGGACAGGGGAAGCTGGGCCTGGCTCGCAGCAGCCATTTTCTACGTCTTCTATCACAGCATCAACACTCAAAGCAAAAACAATTCTGAGTTGCATTAAAGAGTTGAAAGCAAACTCCTCCCTTGCTCTACCCCAACCCCGGCTCAGGGAGGCTCTCCTCCAGCAACAAAAGGGGAACATAAGTTTGAGATCAGTGTGGGATTTGACCCAAACCTCCTCAAGAACAGTCTCCAAAGCAGGGACCGGGAGGCCTCACTGGAAGAAAGAACTTGGGTACTATAGAAAAATTAAAAAATGCCTCTCACGATCCCTTTCCTTGCTCTCGATCCCGACAGTGCAGCAAGACGTGTGGTGCTGGTGTGCGACTGCGTGAGGTGAAGTGTTACCAGGGGGAAGCGCTGGCTCAGGGTTGTGACCCCACTTCCAAACCAGAAGCCAGGCAGACATGCCAACTCCAGCCATGCCCCACAGAGGCACCAGGTATGTCTGGCAGGGCAGGGAGGGAGAGCAGCCCTTGGGAGCCCTTTCCTCTGTCCCGGTCTCTTCTGGGGAAGCACATCTATCTCCTTTTTAACCCCTTCTGTGGATGCTTCTGCTCCCCAGAAGAAGACTGTGAAGACAAAGCGACAGCCAACTGCGTGCTGGTGCTGAAGGTGAAGCTGTGCTCTCACTGGTACTACAGGAAGGCTTGCTGCCGGTCGTGTCGGCTCAAGTCACCCTGACTGCTGCCAGGCCGTACTTCCTTTCCAAGTTCAGGGGCAAGAGCCCCCTTGAGCCAGACTTTACCACTTGAAGCCACCCCACTTGGCTTGGCTGTGGAGCCAGTCCCTGTAGACCAGCCTGCTCAGCGAGGAAGGATTCCTAGGACTTAGTCATCACCGTTCCCTCTCCACCAAGAGGATTTTACACAAGAGAAACCATCAGTTCCTAGAAAGCTACTGAGAAGTGAGTTGGGAGAGCCTGTCTCTGCTGTCATCAGAATAGCTCTAGTTGGAGGCGGTGGGGCGCAGAGGCCAGCCCGCAGCAGGGCACAGACGACAGCAGCCGTCTCTCTGGTCTGCCCTGCAGATTCTTCTACTACAAGAGCAATTTCCAAAACACACTGAAAAATTCTGTGTCACAATAAAGAGCTAAACTGTAAAACTGTGTTTTTGGGATGCATGTACCTAGGCCAGAGGCAAGGGAAGAAGAGGGACACAAGAGGAAGGAAAGCAGGAGCAGGAAGGGTAGGGAGGAAAAAATCCTTGCACCAGGACAGCTTCCAGGCAGCACCAGATAAACCCCATTTTGTGTTGCCTGCCAAAGAACAGAAACCACTCCTGTTTTGTATTTCAAAGTCCTTGTTTATTTCTGACATTGTATTTGGACCCATAGCTGAGCAGCAAAGACAGAGAATAATAACAGGAGGAATCTGAAGTGGAAAAAATCTGGGATCCATGCCCCTACCCCGTCCTGTTCCTCCACCATCCCCAAAACCTTAAAACCCACAGTTGCATCTCCCACGTTTCCAGCCCTTTCAGACTCACTCGTTTCTCTGTAGCCGTGCCAGGCCCAGGGCGTTGTGTTGGCCGTGAGGATAACCCTCATCTTGGCCATCCAGCTACTCTGGAACTGCCTCACCAGCCTTGGCACCTCGTTAGCAGCCAACAGGTCATGCTTAATTTGCATGTGATGAAGATGACGATGCGGTTGCCTTCCTTTCACAAGAAGGGTAACCCACAGAAGCAAAAGCCCCCCATGTTATTCCCACCCTCCGGAGGTCACGGCCCAGCACGTGCTGCCATTGCTGTGGGAAGCCTTGCTGCGTGCCAAGAGGTAGAGTTGGATGCTGGGAGCTGCCGTGCCCGCGAGCTGGCTCTGCGCCCTTTGAGGGGACGGCACTGCAGGGCCGTCTGGCAGAGCCGTGCGGGCGGCAGCCCGCAGGTCATGCTGGGACATACTAACTTGTGGCTCCCAGCAGGATGGAGACCTAGCTGAGCAGATGCTCTAGTGGGAAAGGATGGGATTTACTGAGTTAGCCAAGATTTTTTTTCCAGTTACAGGCTATCTTTTCAGGGAGGAGTACTGGCTGGATGGGAAGCAGTAGGAGCTACAGACTATTGGCCAGTGGGATCCAGAGCGCTTTGCTGCTGCTGCTAACTTTCATCTTCCCTCCTGCCTGCCCTTAATGTGAGATGGCATTTAAAGACTTGCTATCGCTTTTTGGAGAATGGAAGGAGACTCTCTAAAAGAGATGCAGCTAGACTGAGTCTCAGGATAATGGAAATGCAATGTCTTTCTGGGCCAGAGGTGGGGGAGATGGTGCACAATGTTTGTTCAACAGGCTGTGTAAAATGTGGGCTGGGGCAAGGTGTTTGGTTACAAGGACCATGGCCACACTGGCGTTCATCTGGCTCCTTTTCTTTGGATAGTTTGAGCAGAGGTGCCAAGGCACGAGCAGGTCCAAAGTGTAAATTAGCCTTTTGCCTGATAACGTAGACATCCGAGGCTTACGTAGCGTGCACCTCCATGCTGAGACCTACATTTTCTGTGCATGAACGGGGAGGTTAAGTCTAAACTCTTCTGTGAGCAGCAGGATGATTTCTAAATTGCGGTGGTGAAAAAAAAAAACCCAAAAGCACTCACATTTCTGAGCAGTTGTACCCTGTATTGCAAAGGCATGGCAAGCGTTTCCTGCCATTGCCTCCAACAACATCCTCATGGCTGCGGCGATCGTTGCTGTCCGGGTCCCTCCTCCCTGCCGTGAATGGGAAGCGCTCAGCCGAGCAGTCCTGCACCGGTTGCTATGGAAGTGCCCGTGAATGATGGAGATGTCCTTTCAGTAATTTTTCACCTAATTTGATTTATGGAGGAAGAAGGAACTTTCCCACATTCATTTTTGCAGAAAGGCAGAGTCACTTGCTGTCATTACCAGCCGCCGAGCCGGTGAACCCAGGTTCGGGTCTTGTACTCTCTTCTTCCAAAAGCAAAAGGGGGGGACACCAATCACCTGAACATCACTCTCCCATGGGAGGTCGTGGGCCCCGCAAAGGAGGACACATGACCCGGTGGTCTCTGCTGTTGCTGTCAAAAGCAAAAGCCATCCTAAAACAAACCTTCATCTGGCTGTCCAGAGCTGTCAGGATGGGCTGGGTAGGGCTTTGAAAGCTGAAGGTGACCAAAACTGCAGTTTTTTAGGGATGCAATTCTTCCTGTAAGTAAAATCTTGCCATTTTTATGGGTCCAAGTTAAAATCGCTCCTAAGAAAGCCTGTGAAGAGTAGAAGAGCTGGGGGCTTCGGCCGCAGAAGGATCAGCTCGTGCCCGTTTGCATGGGTGAGCGGTTTTGCAAGCAACTTTGCCTCTCCCAGTGGTGATCTATTCATGTCTTGAACTTCTTCAGCACGTGCAAAGACAGAGGCAGGTGGGGGACAGTGTCCTATCTTACACTCAAACACAAAAGCTAACTGCTAGTGGCAACTAATGCAGTACGAGGGGAGCAGGACGATCCGGATCTTCCCTTCTTTGCTTTCCTGTTGCCAAGGAGCTCTGCCATTCCCAGCTCAGCGGTGGGATTTGCCGGAGGTGGCAGCTCGCAGGTGGTCGCGCATCGCTCCATGTGCCTGAGGCGGCAGGCATCGCCTCGGGTGGCTGCATGGGGACATTGGAGGCCTCGCTCTGGGCTCGGGGAGTCGCGGGATCCTGGGGTAATTAAATTAGATTGTACTGTACATAGCCCTCGTTAGACAAGTCCCTTCAGGAGATAGAGTAGAATAATAATGACACTTATGATGGGTTCGGAGGTGGCCGGTTTAATGTTGCCCTTCGAAGTCTCTCTCGTCTTCTTGCCCGTAAAGCTTAGCCGTGCCGGGCGGTTCAGCAGGAGGACTGTGCTGGTCTCGGGCTGGGCTTACGGGGTCCTCTCTGCATGAACCCCCCCCCAAAGACAAGTAAAAAGCCCCTTCCCTCGAGCGGGCGCCGGCTGAGGACACCCTGTGCTAGTGGCAATGGTGACTACACCTCCGTGCTGATAGCCCGCGGGTTCGGGAAGCTCTCGCGGAGGAGGCTGTGGCGGCTCACCGGGTAGCTTTGCAGGGTGGCCATGTTGATGGGCGGCCCCATCTCCTTGTAGCACGCAGGGGTGTAGGTGACCCTCTCTCCCCCGTTGCGCACCATGTCGGCAGTCCGGATGTAAAAGGGGGAGCCGTAGGGGGAGCAGGTCGGGCAGTAGTTGTGAGCCCCGTGCTGGTTGAGCTCGCTGGGGGGGGGCGCGGGGCTGCCCTGGCCATCCACCATGCGGGAGTTGCAGGCATTGCACGTGCCGAGGTGCGAGTGTGTGGCAAGGTCGGGCTCTTCCTCTTCCTCCTCCTCCTCCTCCTCCTCCTCCTCCTCCTCCTCCTCCTCCTCCTCCTCCTCCTCCTCCTCCTCCTCCTCCTCCTCCTCCTCCTCCTCCTCCTCCTCCTCCTCCTCCTCCTCCTCCTCCTCCTCCTCCTCCTCCTCCTCCTCCTCCTCCTCCTCCTCCTCCTCCTCCTCCTCCTCCTCCTCCTCCTCCTCCTCCTCCTCCTCCTCCTCTTCCTCATCGGAGTCATCTTTCTTGCAGCAATAGTACTGTGCGAAAGGGAAGGGGTTACATTAGGGGGAGCGAGCAGCCAGCAGGCAGATTTGGCTTCACAGCCAGCCCTGCCACATCCCCTCATCCCCCTGCCAGAGAAACCTTCTGCCAGCCTCTCACTGCTGTGCTCCATCAGTACCTGGGGTCTGCAAGGCAGCAGAAGTGGGACAAAACCTGGCCAGGACCTGAGCATGCAGCAGGAGGCAGCTGCCGGGGAAATTGTCCTCTCCCCTCCCAGTGAGGTTTGCAAGGGGAAGGTATTTTACTGTGCCAGTTGGAAACTCCTCCAAGTAACGGCTGTGCTTTTCATCACACGGGCGCTGCTGCGTGGCACAGACTTCACATTAACTTTTAAAGAGTTGTTGAAAGCCTCCTCATTTAATTTACAGGGGTAAAAAACCAAAAAAAACCCAACTCCATCTGGTATTGCAAACCCAGCCAAGCCTACACCTAAATTAGCAAGTGCTGCAGATCCTCAAAAGCCTTAGGGGAGTCCCCCGCAGCGGGAGGAGGAAAGGACGTATCTCTGCAGCACCTGGGGGAAAAGGGGGTTTCAACTCCCTGCCCATCACAGGCAAGAAAACCCCCACCAAGACCCCTCCTGCAGCAGCAGTTCGGCCCAAGGAGCAGCGACGCTGCTGGGGTTCGTGGCAAGATGGGGGATGGCCATGGCACTCACCTGTAGCCTACAGTAGCAGAGCACAGCAATGATGCACAGTAGGATCACCGTCGCTAGGATTCCCCCGGTGATAACAACAGTTCCCGCTGTCATCCGACCGATTCTCCATCAAACTCTGAAAGGCAAGGCCACAGGAACACGTGTCACTCTGGGACATGAAAGTCACCTACTATGGCTTTGTCATCACATCACAGACGTGACACCCATGAGGCATCCCGAAATATCGCATCCCTGTTCCTCCCTCCCTAACCGGAAAGCTATCACCCAATATCATTCTCCTCCTCCTAGCGAGAGGACACCTGAGATGCAGCATCATGTCCCTTTGCTGCCATCGCTGCCTCTGGCTTGGGGTCTTTGGGAAACACCCCGCAGTCCACCTGCAGAGCCTCCCCCCTTGCTGAGCCAAAAGGGCTGATTTCCACCCTCCCGGCAGAAAACACAGCTTCTGCTTCAAAATGCAGAAACAAACCTGGGTTTCCACCGGGAAAAGCCAAAGGGGAGCCTTTGAACTCCACAAGTCTGTCAGTCTGAGCCCAAAAAATGCACCCTGGCTGCCTGCCGGGCACTGACAGGTCTAACATGGGCTTGGCATGAGCCAAGCAGCCAAAATGCAGAAACGGTTTCCGGTTTCCACCGGGAAAAGCCAAAGGGGAGCCTTTGAACTCCACAAGTCTGGAGCCCAAAAAATGCACCCTGGCTGCCTGCCGGGCACTGACAGGTCTAACATGGGCTTGGCATGAGCCAAGCACCCCCCCCCGCCGTCCCCGTGCCATGGAACCTAGGGGCTACTTACGTTCAGTGACGGAGGCGTTGGACCTGGAAGGAGCAGAGGGAGAGGTTAGCCGTGGCCCGCTAGCACCCCCCCCCCCATTTCCCTGCTTCCGGAGAATTTGCCTTGATTTGGGACCTGCAGGAAGCCCTGTTTCATGTCCCGCATCCCACAGGGATGGGGCTCAGCATGCGCCTACGCCCCCAGGAGCCACCGTGATGCAAAAAGCATTTTGAGTCCTGCAGATGATGATGATGATTAATAACCATAATAACTATTATTATTATTATTATTACTATTATTATTATTATTTTCTTTAATTTGGAGCAGGGAAAGGAGGCATTTCCCAAGCTCGGAGAAATACTCCACAGGACAAGGCTGTGCTATCAGCAGCTCGTGAATCACACAGCTTTGCAGGGCGAAGGCCTGGCTTAGTCAGCACTTGGCCTTTTCGTCTTTAAAATTAATTATGGGTGAGGTGGATGCATCATCTCGCAAGTGGACAATGTTTTATGTGCCGCTGGGAACGAGGCTCTCCCCTCCATGTCCTCCGGGGCACACGAGCCCCAGCGTCCCCCCACCACCCTGCAGGCACCTACCCGGAAAAGGACAGGCAGGGTGTTGCGGTCACTCCGGACCCGGGGCAGCCGGCTGGGACAGGCAGCGCTGCATGGCCACGGGGAGACACCAGCGGCCCTGGGAGGGAGGACAAGGAGAAAAACCCACCACCATCAGCTTGTCCCCCCTGCCCAAGGGGGCTGCTCAGTGTCACCATTCCCGCTGATGCCACTTCTGTCCCCACAGCAGGGCTAAATAAACTGCTTTTTTAGGGAGACCGGCAGGAAAGGTGCTTGCTGCAAAGGTGGGTAAACCCAAACCACCAGGAAAGGATGATCCTGCACCTGAAACCTGCAATTTCAGCAAAAGTGAGAGACTTGCACCCAAAAAGTGGGTGCACCCATTGCCCCCATCACCCCCACCCTTCGGCGATGCCTGGCGCAACCACATTTCATTACCGACCCCCATGTCTCTCTGTGTCTCGTACAGAGCAAGGCTAATTGATTGGGCCCAAGTGCCAGCCGGTTGCAGCCAAGGAGATCTAATTACCCACTCACCACGCAGTCCTAATTGATGGAGGGAGGTGACAGTTTCCAGACAAGACCTGCCCAACTCTGCCCTGGCCCCTCGCTGCCACGTGTGCCGGCGTGCACCGTGGGGAAAGACCCCCCCCCAAAATCACCCACCCTCCTCACTCCGCTGCGTGATTTTCAGGATCCTGCCTGCCGCAAATTGGTTTTTTGCTCTTGGAAAGTTCTTGTATGAAGCCAAAAGGCAGGCACACATTGGATTTCCTCCTCGAGCTGCTCTAGCACACGAAACAAAGCAAAAAAAAACCCTGAGAAATCAATAGGTCTATAACCCAGCTAACATCTCCATCCATCAGGGGACCCGACGCAGAGCCGATAATGGACCCCGACACGCTCGGCTCCTGTGCCCTGTTACCAAACCGCACCATGAAACACTGCCAAGAGCGAGGAGCACTGGGGAAGGCGGGGGGATACACGGGGGAGCCTTCGATGGAGTTATCAACTCCCCAGGTGCCATCCTTAACAGGGAAAAGCTGACAGTGGGTGGCTGGAAAAGGCAAACGTTGACCTTCGATGACCCCCAAGAGGGACACGCTGTGAGCCGGGCAGTGATGGATGATGCAGGCGGCCATTTGCATCCAGAAAACTTCATTTCATGGGAGCTGTGATTTGATTTAGAGCTCAGAGAGCAGCATCCAATTAGCCTGAGGTTTGGAGCAAGCAGGCAGCCGCAGAGAACGACCCTAGGTGGGGAAGGACCAGTCCTGAGGACCCTTTGGTCACCTCCAAGTACGACCAGTGCTGCCTCGCAGACGGCTGGGCTTCCACGTGCCCCATCTCTGGCATTCCTGTTTCTGGGGCTGCCGGGATCAGTGTTTCAGCAGCCCCACTCAGGCGCCAGGCTCTTCCTTATTAAAATAGAGAATGTTAAAAAAAAAAAAAAGGGCAAAAATTAAAACGAACCAGAAGAGAAGCGCTGCCTTTCCTCATCTCTTCAGAGGAGATGCTTTCAGAGAGAAGGAAGTTTCCTACCCTCCTCCGCCCCAAATCCTACACACCGGCAGCCTAGCAGTTCATTTTCTAGCCAGTTTGTGCCTATAAAATAGTTTCTGCCTATAAAACAGCCTTCTCTAACCCACAGCTCTCTTCTGCAGGGATGCAGAATGGGATGTAATGCCTCTCGGGGAAGGAGCAAGAGCCCCAATCTCAGGAGTAACTGAGGTCTTGTCTTGGGAATTATAAGGCCCGGAAAGGGGCAGGACAACTACAACAGCCTTTTCCAGCCCTTGCAGAGGCCATAAAACAGCCCCAGCAGCCGTATCCCTGCCGCCGGGGATCAGCCCATCTCCATTTTCCATCCACTCCCTGCAAGCACATCCCAGCCTGCCGGGAAAGGGGTATTTTGGGGTCAGCTTCCCTCAGGCTTGGGCACCGCACAGCCCCACCACACCATCCCGACAAAAAGCCATACGTTTTTAGGGGTCCCCTAAAAGCCTCAGGCTGCACTGCAAGCTGAGCTGAGCCCCACGGCTCCTGCTCCCACAGCGGGTTGGGATGCAGAGGCATCGCAGGGGGATGCACAAGCTGAACTCCCCGGGACACAGTCCCGTTTCTCCTTTTTAAAAAGGGAGTTGAGAGTTGTTTAAATATTTAAATATCCCACTCTGAGCAGATGCCTTGGTGGTCGCCACTGACCTGCTCCTGGGCAGCTCAGGAGAGGGGCCTGCGACCCAAGGGCAGGCGTGGGGACCCTCCGGCACACAAACCATTGCTGAATAAAATCAGGATTTGTATGAGCGGGGCTGCATTACCCTCCCTGCCCCTCGCTGGCTTTCGGGAAGCGATTCGAGATGCTAGGCAGTGGTGTCCCCAGTGGGGATGGGAGCGGGTGGAGGGAGGGTCCCCGGCTGTATTGAACTCCTCCGGGCAGGCGTGCAAAACTGCTTGCTGCAGAGATATATTTTCTTTAATTGATATCGCCTCACAGCGCAAAGTTACAGCCTGAAAAGTGACTCTGGGAACGAGCGGCATCGCAGGCTTCTATATTTATTCTCCTTCAATGACGTCCATAGCAGATTTGCACAGTTTGCAAGTTGATGGTGAGGTTTTTGCCAGCCGCCAGCACTCTCAGCCCAGCTGAGAAACTCCCGTCCCTCTCCCGGTGTGTCCCACCAGACCCGAGCTCAGTGCCCCCCATCCAACAAGGGTTGAACACTAACACGGGACACGGGCGCAGGTTTTAGGCTTGGGCAGAGCACGGCTATTTGCCGTGAGCATCATGCTGAACATCGCTGGCAAGTCCTGCCCCAGCCCGGGCTCTGCTCTCCCGGTTTTGCTCTGCAGCTCAAGGGCTAATTCAATGAAATGTCTGCCTGGTAAATTAGCCCGTCCGCTGCCTTACCAGAATCATCTCCCAAGGCCTAATTGGAAAAAAACAGCATCAGGGGCTGCCTTTTCAAAACAGATTATGGCAGCAAACAACAGGGCAGCTCCTGGGAGGCTGCGGCCTGCCCTGAACGGGCTCAGCCTGGTGGGATTCAGGTGGATTAACCCATGGTTGCAGACCTCGGTGAGGGGGGAGGACACGAGCAGCGCGGCCCCCCCCAGCCATGGGGCAGGACGGGTGCATGGGGAGGGCTGAGGCCCTGCAAACTCATTGCATGTCAGATGCTCTGTGCTGCAAGGTGTAAGGGGACAAGTCGAGTCGTGGGGGAACAGAAACAAGGCCCCCCCCACCCAAAATGAGCCAAGCTCAAATGAAATTTCACCCAAAGAGCAATGGCAACGCGGGATGCAAGAGGATGCGGGGGCTGCACCCAGCCAACAGTCCCCCAGCAGCCCCCCTCCGGCCCCAGCACTCGCCCCGGGGCTTCTTGCCCAAGTCCCAAACCACTGGGTCACTTTGAAGCCTTTAAACTCTTAATTAAGGGATCCATGGGGGGTGCCAGGGAGCTGAACCTGCTTCCCGCCCTAGGCCCTGCGAACACTGCTTTTTGGAGGAGTCACAAATTGCTGTTTTGATTTACCCTTGCACATAAGTGTGCTTAAGCCCCCTCATTCCTGGGGGGGCCAGGATGGGGCCAGCCCCTTCTGACTCTAAGGTCAGAATATCTCTAAGGCATAAAAATTGACCGTGAGACTGGGCGACCAGAGCAACCCCGCTCCCTCCTGCAGCAATAACACCCCCGGGAGTGGTGCTGAGCTTCATGGCTGGTTCTGCCCGAGTTATAATTGAG